ATAATCTTCAAGTCTGTTGCTTTAGATTCTCTTTTAACTATAATAATTCTTCTAAAAAAATCTATAACTAATAGTTGTTCTACCACGTGTTCGTTGTTGTTGTTTGCTGTATAGATTTGTCACGTGTATCACTTTCTGTTTTTGTATTCTGCTATATTTAAAATAGGCCACACCAATTTAATTTTATGTTTAACATAACATTTATAGCCAATAAGATAAGGGGTATTAGAATAATACACACACGTGATAAAAATGCTGCAATTTGATTGGCTATTCATTCTGTAAAATAATATAATCAATACGGGTTTGTACAGTATATTGATATTATATACAGTCAGACCCCCCTAAATGCTACCCCAAGTGCACATTCTATAAAACACCTCCCTAAATGCACGTCTTCTCTTGGGCCCAACTAATATTATATTTATAGATTTTTACCTTCCCAAATGCAATACCTCTCTAAGTGCACATTTGACTAAATTTTTATATATGGTCTTGTCGTATTACATTTAGGGAGATTTGACTATACTTAAAGTACTAACTAATATACTCGGATATTTGTAGACTTAAGATATACCTGGTATATATATTTTTTTATTCAACTTTGCTAATCATCGATGTTTTATACCAAATATATATTTTTCAAAGCATGAAATATTATTTTTCGAGTATCCAAACATAAACCAAACTTTGATTCAAACTACTTCTGGATACAAAATAGGAGGATCGATTTAATAGTTATATCTGACAATAATGCAACTTAGAAACTTCTGTTAAAACCAAAACATTAAAAAAAATTTTTTCTTTTATTAAGTTTTATATCATTAAATATATTATGTTCCGATTGATCTTTGAAATACTGTGTTCTTGAACTAAAATGCCAATAATATATAATTTATTAAAGGAATCTATCTAATCACATCCTTGTATTCTATGGATTTAAGTTAAAATTTTTTAAACAATCATGAATATCCTTATTTCCAGTGCTGGCCTATGACCTGTTATGACTTATGATTTATAAAATTTACTATTTTATAATGTCTACCTTGGTCATATAAAGTCAGATATGACCTAAAATGGCCAGTACTGCTTATTTCTACTTGCCCAATTTTGTGTCGTTTTATTGCATAACTGACCATAACAATAAATTTTTAATGAACTTATTTTTTATAACGCTTCATGGCTTTATTATTAGTTTTGATCACTGCTTTTGTATAAAAATTTTTTCCATTTTCTTGACAAATTTCACATAATGGATAGATTTGCTTAAAACATTCTTTTAAAGATTGCGGTGGAGTTATCAAATTATCACTATTTCTACAGTAATAACAAATTAGATAATTTCCTACTTTGCGGCTTGAATAGTACAATATTTCAATTGGAGAATTACAGCTAATTTGTGTATATACAAAGATTACTTCCTTCAAATAATGGTCTTCAGAAAAAATCAGAGCACTATACGAATATGAATAAGAGTCTAATACTTGTTGATAATTAGACTGTTCATTATCGGTTAAGGATTTGTTACTATATATGCAGCGATGTTTTGACAATTTTCACACTTTATATAATCCTGGATTTTCTCTGCAATTAGAATAGATTTTGGGATAGGCTCGGATTTTTCCTGTGACTGCATATATGTTGGTCGATATTCTTCTGTGGTTTTGGTTCCATAAATATTCTGAAAGGCTGCATAATGATCTATATTATCTAATATTAAAATAACATATAGTATACAGTTATATGAACATATATTATACAGTTGTATGAACAAAATATTAGAGTAATAAATATACCTTTTGAAGGAATTGGATCTGGAAGAAAGCTCAACATATTAAACTTGTGTATTGGAAGACGAATTGGCTTACAATACAAGCAAGAAATATTATTACATTTTTTCACCTTTAAAGTTAATATATAAATAAGCAATAACCTTGTTGTAATTAATATTACTTAAAATCTCAAAGATTGGTTTTGGAACCCTCAAATACTGAGTATTTACATACCTGAAAACTGTAAGCATGTGTTTGGCAATGAGTGTCAATAAATCCAATCAATGTTGGATACTGGTATATTTGTTTTTGTATAGTTTTTTTAATTTTTAAAGTTGGATCTATTCTAAAAATTGACTGTAAAATTTATCAATGATATTTTATATAAAATAATCGATATAATAAAGTTAAATAAAATTCATTAATTTAGCTACAGTAAACTAATTTTATTTTATTTACTTCAAATACTTCTGTAATGGCATCTTGACTTGCGGGAGAGTAATATTTAAATTTATTATTTTTTAACCTAAGCCATTCTGTTCGGCTATTTAACATCTCTTGAATACTTGTGATACTTTTTTTAACTCGGATTCTAATTTACTTGATCCTTGAGCTTTTTTACGTATGTCGCCTAATATATTCACCATTCTAAATAAAGTTTCAAATTCAATACTCATCGAGTCACGTTTTAATGCTACACCCTGAAGGCCCAAATTCAAAGTACTCATAACTTGTTCTGCAGGATTTGTCTAGCTATGATTGGGTGCTGTATGAACTCAGCAAGTAAATCAAAATTTCCACAAAGAAAAAGGCTAATTAGTGCAATTTGTACAGAACCATAATTACAACGATGATCTGAACCTCCATCGGTGTAAAGACACAAAATTGGTGGCACTTCTTGATATACATACTGAATGTCTAGTGCATTTAAAAATTCTGTTACATGTCTAATAGCGGTACTAGGTTCAAAAATTGTATCTTTATATGATACAAACACCTGACCCTCGTAAAATGACCCTGAAATTTCATTGGGGATAGATATAAAAAAAATCACTGATGGTATTAAAGATAGTTTTGTGAAATCATGATCAGCAGCAGCCAAATTGCTCTCTTGTGCAACCATAGAACGTTGATTTCGTATACTGGTAAAAACTGCAACATCTTCACCTATAGGAATTTTGTGCTTATTATCAGCAAAAATCAAATATGCCTATTGACGGTACTGGATACAGAATTCTCTAAGATAGCAGAAAAGTGCAGCACAATAATGTGCATCTTCACTGTTTTTTTGAAGCATCCGAGCTTGTACTTTAAATTTTATATTAAATCGGCCAGTATAATACATAGCCCTCATTGTAGTAACATTTGTGGGACAAAATTAAAGACGAATCCATTCATCTGATGGAATATTAATATCAGAAGGTAAAGGGTCACCATAAATAGTCTTTAATCTTTCCACTATAGTTTCACAAAGATCACGAATTGACAAGGCCAATAGCATATATAGAATAGCCCTATGCCACCGCTCATTTACTGCAAGTAAATTCTATATTAAAATAGGTTAAATATAATAATAATAATAATAATAATAATAATAATAATATAACAAATCCTATCTGCTCATTAAAATATGCATTCATTTCATCCCAAAATACATTAAACTTTGTTCCTTTAAATCCATTGTTTGTTCGCAAATCAAATATGATATTAGGATCTGCCAAGATTAACATTAATTGTAGTCTTTCTTCTACATTATGACTGATTGCACTTGGAGTTACAGCAGCATTACCAGTAAGATCAAAATAAAGCATCCATAATACTGCAGGTGTAACTTTCTGGATATAGGAATACTACAATATAAGAAATGAATATATGTTAATATATATTAATCTATTAATAAATATCAGTTGTATTATTATACTTTGTCAAGCACATTCTTTTGCATTTGTCGCGTAAAATAATAAGGCAATTCTTCATGAATCCTAGACAACATACGTGCTTTTAACGTTTCGTCTTGTCTATCATCAAATGTTTCTGCTTCTGGGATCCTCCATACATAATTAATTGTTTCCAAATAATTACCCTGATAATATCTAAAAAAAATAGTAATTTTATAAGATAAAAATATATACGTGAAATTACGTTTTATATTGCCATCAAGCGAAAAATAATATTTCTTTTTCTTTTGCCGATACACAATAATATTATATAATTTTTATAGCCAAGACTCGAATACTGACCTATATACAC